TAGTGAAATTGTATCTGATCCAGAGAACCATATCGTAACCTCAAAAGGTTTTATCTTCGCAATTTCTCTCGTTTCTGCAAAAGATACTGCTGCTGCGATTGTATCCAAATGAATGTTGCGATCGTTTAAAGGTGAATTATGATTAATATCTGTACTTGGGTCAGGTGCTGACGTGGGACGAGCTGAATGTGTAGTACCAACTGGACTATCTTGTGTTGAATGGTGTGGCAGTAATTGCTGTAATATATGAAGGGGAACAAGTCGTCTGTATATGGATTGTTCAGGTTCTGGCGTCTGATGGCTGGATTGCCACACTAAAGCAGCATGAGTGTTTAAGGTGAACCATAGACCAATGGCATATGACTGATTAAAAGGTAAATAATTCAGTTAATAAAAATTTATAACTTGAAAATTTCAAATTAAATTTAAATTAGAATTAAAAGATTACCAGGACCAAAATCGTTGCACAGAAATACATCAACGGCTTAACGTATTGACGATATAAAGGTGTTTCTATAGGATCGACTTGAGTATGCTGGCAAACTTGACAATAGGATGCCTGAATATCCACACAGGTTATATTTTTGCAAGTCATTCGATACTAAAACATTACGTAAAGCGTTAATAAATGACAAAAAAAAAAAAAAACATATTGTTTAACTTGAAAAAAAATAACAGATATAAACCGGAGCAAAAGTCTGATAAAATAGTGTAGGTGTAAGAGCTCCAATAATCGCCATAATAAGCATTGTTGAAGTTACACCTGGATAATAGAGAGAATAAATCATAATATATCTTTAAAAAAAAACAGTTGGCAATTTATATAAAGAACCTTACCTGCGCTCTTAGCATTAAATTTTTGCTCTTTGCGTTTTAATCCTCCACTAATCATGCTCAAACCAGGCAGAAGGAGTACACCACACAATAAACTCCCAATAATACTGCCTTCGGCAAGTTTACCTTCTCCTAAAGTCAATGCAATTGAATATAAAATGATTTCTATAATACTACCAAAAGTGGCATTGACCACAGCACCAAGACCAGCTGAGGATTGTGCAGAAATAGAAGCTACTGCCATCCCAATAAAATAAGAAAGAGGTACTACAGAAACGAGAGAAATTGCGAAGATAAAACCTTTTGAGGTTACGATATGGTTCTCTGGATCAGATACAATTTCACTA